CGGTCTGGGATTCTGTGATTCTGTGAGAATGAATTTACTTACCTGCTGAGAAAAGAAAATGCAGGTAGCCATTTCCATGTCACACAAATATATGCTAGTTATTTAAAAAACCCCTCAGAGTCAAAGTATTTCTTTAAAATAAGTTTAACAAAAAGGAGAGTAGAGATTGGAAGTTTGGCTTATCCAGAGTGCTCTGCCTGGCTGTTCTGGCGAAACAGAGTTCAAATGTCAGTGAAGTAAATTGCAGAAAAGACACCTCTTTCTGCACTCACACCTCTGAGAGGCCTCGGGCTGTCCCCTGTGGTGTCCAGCAGAGAAGGGAGCCCAGGGAGGCTCCTCAAGCACCCGTCCCTCTGCTCAGCTCCTGCTGCTGTAGTGGGTGTCCTCAGGAATCACCAAAAGAGCCACCACAGAGTTAAGGTGGTGTTTTGTTTGCTTTTCATTTTGTACAACTTCATTGTAACAGAAGAAACATTCCTTGAGAAAAATCAACTTCTCTGTTTCATGAGAAGATTAACTGATGTATGCAACTTGTGCATTATTTTCCTCTATCAGAGCTTTTAAGTTCTGTTCTTCTGAGGGGCAATGAGACCTCCAGGAGTACTGTAATCAACAGGTGGGGTTCTGTTTGTGTTTAATGGGGGTGGAAAAATCAGTTATTGCTTAACAAATCTTCTTTCAGGACATGGCTTTTAAACACTTCGTGACTTTACAAGAGGAAAAGTCGTTTCACGCTACTTTGGGCTGTATTGCTCTTTACTCAAGGCACTTTTATTTTGCTGTGCTTGCGGTAAATGGTATTTCTTACGGGATTTTTGTCTATAGGAACTGAGAGCACAGTTTGTCACCTATTGTGAACTGCTTTGCATAATGATTACAGAAGTGGTACAGCGTTGTCAGTTTTCTTCTTGCATTGCCTCCCTCTGCAGCAACTGAACCACCCCAATATAATTAAATATTTGGATTCTTTTATTGAAGACAACGAACTCAACATCGTCCTGGAGCTGGCCGATGCTGGCGATCTCTCTCAGATGATTAAGGTAAGCCCGTGTCGGTTCTGGAGGTGCTGTGGGGGGCCAAGCAGGGCTGTGCCTGGGATGCTTCGGTGTCCTGCGGTTTTGCACACCCACAGGGTCCTTTCAGAGCCTGAATCAAAGCTTCTGGTGGTGTTTTAACTGCACCAGGCCATGCTGCTTGCTTCTGGTCTCTGCTCTGGAAGGGAATGAGCTTCTCCGTGTTTGGTGGGACGTACATGTTATTTGCAAGGTTGATTTATCAAGTCTGTGATTGATGGGGACATTTAATTACTGTCAGCTTCACCGTTCACAGAGCCTGTCTGCCACTCTGAAGACATTCAGGAAAGTGTATTGACTTTCTTTGCAACGGGGATTTGGGTTTGAGAAAATGTTTCAAGTACTTGCTCTTCTCTTATGTTGCTCTTAGGAATACTTGTATTGCTGCAAACCAGCTTTAGTTAAGCTGTTACCACCTGCTTTTATATTTTCTTTGACATGTTAATCTTTAGACATACATCCCTTGTGAGAACAGATGTGTTATATCGTGTTTGTTAGCACTCTCAACCTTCTCTCAATGTTTTACCTGTTTTTTTGCGATCATTATTCTGTAATTATCATAAACAAATGTTTGGAAAGTTCTCCTCCTCCTTGTTGTCACAGTTAAAATATCTTATTAACAGATTTGTTTTCTTTGCCAGCAGAGCTATGAGGCAGTAGGCCAAAGGCTGTCAAACAAGTTATCCCTTTAGCCCATAGTCAGCAGCTAAATTTACAGGATCCGGCAAAATCTGCTCCGTCTCACAGGAGATCCCCTGGGCGGGCGTGCTGGGAGCAGCAGTTGGCAGAGCCGTTTTGGGGAGAGCCCCAGATTTCCAGATACGGCCTCACTCCATGGCCACTCAGCAGCAGAAGCAGTGGTCAGATCTGACCCCAGCCCGAGGGATGAGCTGGGGCCGCAGCAGACCCAGCACGGCTTTGGTTGCCATCTCTGGTGGCTGTGACTCCTGCCAAGGGCGGCTGTGGGTGTCAGGGCCTTGGCTGTGCTCGCCGGGTGACGGAGGCAGAGCTGCTCCTGCTGCCTCTCAGAGCTTCTGCTTTTTATTTTATTTTTATCTTTCCCTGTTTTCTTGTGGCTTCTCGTGTGTGTTTTCCTCTTCCCAGCAGATCCTGGGAAACTTCGAGTTATCTCGGGCTTTTTGTAGCTGTGGTTAAAGATGGAAAATAAGCGAGGATTGTGAGAGCAGGAGTGAGGGCTGTGATCACGCTGCGGTGTGCAAGTGCTTATTTGTTAAATCTCAGCTTACAAAACGTTTTACCTACTTAATGGTGAGATACCATCATAAAAAATACTTGCATTTCTTTTGTCATTTACAGTTTTTAGTTTAAAACATTCCCTACTGATAAACACGTTCATTTAACTGTCGGGTTTGGTTAATCAGTTTTTTTAAATTACTTTTTCTGTCATTGTAAATAGGAGTTACATTTTCCAGAAGGTAATTTGTAGCTTCTTGGGTTGATAACGGGAGCAGCGCTGCCAGTGCTCCTCAGTCTGGTGCGTGTTCCCACGTGCTCCTCGCAGGCCTGAAGGAGGCATGCTGGGTTTTTTCCAGGTCGTACAAATTACGTTTTTCTATTGGTGCAAATCTTGGAATTCCTGTTTTTTTTTCCATAGAGAAAAGAAACCCAAAACCAAAACCAACAAAAACCTAAACCCACGAGGGAACAAAAGCCTCCTCCTACATACAGCTTGAAGTGCAGAAGTGGAGTTTGCCTCCTGCCCCCCACCCATCCCTTGGGAACTGGAGCTTTGTGAGGGTTTTCAGTGCGGGGAGGCGTAGGAACAGCAGTAACAACGCTGCGGAGGTGCCAGGGTGATAAAAACAGGGCCTGTCTTTGTCACGCCCCTGTGCTGCATTATTTATGAGGAATTGTAAAGCTGCTGTAAGGGACTGCTGCAGGATAAACCACTGGAGAGCTGGGACTTTGTTGTAAATGTCAGGCGAATCTTATTGGACATGACATTTAGAAAATTATCACTTGTGGTCTTGCATATCCACTCTTAAATACTTTAATGAGAACTAAATAATTTTATCATGTATATAACACTTTATCCCTCACCCTCTGTAATTCCTCTGTGCTCTCTATCAAGTTTTGGTTGGAAACTGTTGCAATCTGTCAGCTTTGCTGCCTGGGGAATTGCACGGTCATGCCCTTTCACAGCTGATCTGCAAAAGAAAATTTGCCATTACTGGAGTCAAACACGAACCGGTAACAGCATTTCACATAAAATAAAAAATGTGACAGCGGCTATCAGATGTCTGTACTGAGAGGGGAAAGCACACAATGCAGAAAGGGGCAGCAGCCAATTCCCTTCTTTATTCTTGCTCCTGCGTGCTGCTGGTGGCAATTCTCGAGGGCACAGCGCAGAGGAAAGGCAGTTGCAGTGCGCTGGAAAGGGTGTGCGGCGTCTCACGGGTGTTACCAGTGACACCTTGCGTATCAGAGGATAAATACTAAACCTCTGGAAGTTCAGTGTAAGTGCATTTGGTTGATGCTCTGGACGAAGAGCTGGCTCAGTGTCTAGCACAGGAGGAAACAATGAGGAGTCAGGGACCGATAATCTGAAGTAGCACCGTTTTGGGATGCCTTGGAGGGGTCGGTTGCGCTTTGCGTGTGATGCACAGGCGGGTTGTGCATTTCTGAAAGGGAAAAGGAGCAGTTGGAGATCTATAACGTTTGACCTTCACTGAAGTGTGCAGCTGGTTTTTTATTCCTGTAATAAGTTGCTTGGGAAGAAGACTTCAGCGTTGCAGAGGACCAGCACCAAGCTGCACTCCTTGGTTTTGTGTGCATGATGCTTACAGTTATTTTATTTGAGAGCTTTTAGCGCCCAGAGGTCCATTGAAACCGGACTCAGCTGTGCTTGGCGCTGCATAAATGGACCCAAAACGGTCGTTTTCCCAAATCTGTGTCTCTTGATCAGGAGTGGCTTTCTGTCTCGCTAGAGATAGCTCAGTTAATTTAGTATTCCTATTCTGCATGAAATAGCATATATTATTCTGCTGATCACAGAAGAAACGTGGATACTTTATTGATGCTCTGGCCACCTTTTAAAAGAGGAAACAGATTACCTTTCTGTTGTGAATAGACTGTACAATAATGAATGTTTACAGGATTTATTTTTAATGATCTTTTGTTACTTCAGGCAAGATATGAGACATTTGTTGTTTTGAGGCGTTAAATATGTTTCGCAAGGTAATTAAGGAGATTAATGCTAATTATAATTGGTGTCCATTCAAAAATGTCAAACCTATTTAAGCGTATTTTTCGTAATAGTTGTTAATTAGTGAACTGCACTGAAGTTTACACACAGAGAAGAGGAGTTAAAAGCTAATCAGAAGCAAAGTCATGCTGCTCTAGATCTGGAAGACGCGAGCAACCCGCAGCTGCCTCACACAAGTGCAGGAACGAGTCAAATACGCTGCTTTTTCACTGATCTTTTATTTATTTCCTCCCACAGTATTTTAAAAAGCAGAAACGGTTAATCCCGGAAAGGACGGTGTGGAAATATTTTGTGCAGTTATGCAGTGCAGTTGAACACATGCACTCCCGCAGGGTGATGCACAGAGGTAACATTAATTCAGTCTCTTTTCACTGAATAATAATATAATGTTCCAATTAGTAAGCGCCTACATTCAAAAACAATTATGCTGATGTTCAGCCAATGCATGTTTAGAGGCTGCGGCTCGCAAGATGGATTTCTCCTTCTGTCTCTCTGCCTCGTTGTTAAAAGGTTGGGTCCGAAGTGAGTCTGGGATTAGGAAGATGAGCTGCTTTGTATTCCAGACACTGATATGAAGCAGAAGTGTCAAACTTGCCATTAGAAAAGTGTCAGAAGTGAAATGCTGAGACTACGGGATACGGGGAGCTCTAAGAAATGGCCTTCGTTATGTGAGCTGTGACCTCAGAGAGTTTGGAAGAGTTTTTCTGTCCTGCAAGCTTTTCTGAAATATTAATACAAATATGTCCCACTCACTCATCACCTGTTCTCTGTTTTCCTTAATTATTTTTGTACCTCTTGTCTTAGAACTTTTAGTAACTTTCAGCTCCATCCAGAAATTACGTTGCTGCTTTCAGCGTAAATGAAACGCTTTGTGAAGGACCTGACCCAGGAAGTGCAAATATCTCAAAAGGCACCCATACCAGTCTCTGCCGCTTCTTATTTCTTTTATCCTTTGAAGCAGTGAATTTTCACTGGTTTTTTAGCGGCGTGATACCTTTTTTGCTGCTGTATACATCCCCTGATGCAGTTTATCAGTTGGACCTGCACTGGGTCTGTAATAGGTAGCTGAAACTTGGAGCCTGGCACACTCAATCCTGACATGACTGCTTGGGAAAATGGGGTTCTCGTGATTTTTACACCCTGTGAACAAACGGGGCTGTGTAGAGCCCAGAATTTATGTATACATGGGACAACAATTTGCCCTGGGTGTGGGGTGGACAGTGGCAGGCAGTACAGTTTCCTGCAGAAAATGATCATTTCTGAAGAGAAGCATACTTCTGCTTTGATTTCCAGCAGTTAAAGAGGGTGCCTGTGTTCTGTTGGGCTGTTTCCTACATCTTTCCTCGTTGCTCTTTCTTGTGTGCTGCGAAGTGTGCTCTGATTTTTGTGCATGTGTGGAGCTCGAAGTCCGGGAAGACTGAGCCTATCAAAGCTGTGAAGAAGCGCGGTTCTGCCCAAGCCGCTTTTGTGCAGGGCGCGCTCCAGGCTATGCTTCTGTTGCAGCATTAGAACCAAGTAACCTTTTGTGGCTTTAACCTTGTTCCTTCTTCTTGCAGACATAAAACCAGCCAACGTGTTTATAACAGCCACAGGGGTGGTGAAGCTGGGAGATCTTGGATTAGGCCGGTTTTTTAGCTCTAAAACCACTGCAGCACATTCCTTAGGTAAGATGGGACTTGCAGGTGTTAAGCAAGCGCGGCTGTGCCGTTGTCACCGGGGTGTTCACAAGGACCGGTGTCCGTCCTCTTACTGTGGCAGAAGTGTGGATGCATGCTATGTTTTCTGCGATATGTATTTTAAATGCTCCTCATGTGATATTAATAGATATTTTTTGGTTTAAAACTGGTGTGTTTTTCTGGAAGGTCTGGACTGGTAAGTGTGTGGTTTATAGCAAAGGTAACAAATGCACCTTTCCCACTCTAAACAGCGTGTTTGCCTGCACCCTGCTAACTGGAATTAGATGGTTACACCAGCACCTTTTTTAGCAGATGCTGCTCAGCCCTCTTCCCCCAAACAGGGGTTGTGGCTGTCCTCTGAGGCACGGGAGGTGTTCAGAGTCCTCAAATTCATCTGTTCTGAAAAGGGACTTGGCTTGAGACTCAGCTTGGGCTTTTCTTCATGGCTTCCACATATCTCAAGGATGTTTTCCTGCTCTTCTGTCGGTGCGGCTGATGGTTCTTGCCAAGGCGTAGTACCTTGCTTTAATTCTCACTGAGTTGTGTCCCGTTCCAGACTCTTACTTGCAACCGCTGAATTTTTATTCTGTCCTCTGCTGTGCTTTGGTTCATCCCAGCTTCCAGTGGCATCGCCATGGACCTCATGTTAACGCATGTAGTGAGCAGAGCTAGAGCCAGTGGCTGCCTTGCAGGGCTTCACTTGAAGAAGCCTTCTGCTCTGGCAGGGAACTGTTTTTCGACCAATGTTGCATGCATGAGATGGTTTTGTTTAAACAGATTTCACAATTTGCTTATAAGTGAACTTATCTAAGCCTTTGATGAAAGTGTGATATATTACATTTGTTGCTTCTGTTTCCTTCCCTCTGAAGCCTCGTACCTGATTGTGGAAAAAAAAAATTATCATTTGACATGCTGTTTTGTGGACCAGTCATAGTGAAGACGAGTTGTTCCTTTTTTCTGTGTTTTACGAGTAGCTTGATTATACCTCCAGCACTTTTCTGGGAATTTAAATTAAATAGACAGGTATAGAGCATCTGGGTTCCTCTCTCCCTCGTTGTTACCATTGGCATGCATTACAATGCTATAGAAAAGTATATGGTATATACAGTTAATTCTTTGTCTTATAAAGTATTTCATAATTGTGTCTGTAACCTCTTGAGAGGTGCCTGATTTCCTGTTTTTATTAATGAGTCTCCATTTTTGAGTCACAAAGGTACTTCTGTGTTATAGCAGTGAGGGAACTTTGGCTTTTAGTGCAATATTTAAGCTCTTTTACATTTGGCTCTCGCAGTTGATTTTGGAACGCATGACGTTTGTTTCACTGTTTCTGCAATTTCCTCCTCTGAGTGTGAGTCTTGCTCAATTACTTCTTACATGCGTTATTAATATTAATTGATAATACTTGCCAACAGCACTGGGGCTCCTCAGTGCACTAGAGAGAAAGATACGTACCTTATTTTGTGTGTTCTTAAAAAAATACAAGGTGTTTCTACTTTGACAGAATGTTAGGAGGTTTCCCTTTGCATCAAAAGCCATTGTAGGATATGTACACACTGTACTTAATACATTAGAATAAATCCTCTTCACAGAAAGTTAGAATCACATCATCTGAACAGGCAAAAAGATGATCATGTCTAATTATGTGATTGTATCGGGTTTGACTGCTGCGCTTACTATATTAATAAGAATAAATTGGGGCTTGAAAATGGGCTGCACGTGTAAGCCAAGCTTATGACCTTTACCAGGGCTGCTCTCTCTTAATTGCGAAAGCACGTGTGGGAGGAGTTGAGCCTCTGCTGCACAGACTGTGCCCTTCCCCAAACCAACAGCATCCTGGAAGCTGGCGAATAAGGTGCAAAAGACGGAGGGAGCAGCAGTGAGCGGTACTGGAGATGGTGTCGTGTGGGAGGGATGGACACGCCACTGTTTCCAGTGTCTTTTGTAGCCAAGCAAAAGAACATTTGAAGCTTTTTTTTGTTGGTAATTTGCCAGACACACAGGTTTAGTAGCAGCGGGAAATCTACTGATCTTGGTTTTGGTTTAATTAAGACATTTGTTTAAGGAACTGTGAGCGATGAACACACCGCAAACTGGAGCGTGGTACCTGCACAGACCCAGGCTGCAACGCCAGGCACTTCCTGTAGCTGCGTTGCCCCAGCAACCGCCCTGAACCATCATTTCCCTGGCTGCTGACCCATGAATTGAACGCGTGGCTTATGCAAATGTATTCATCTTAATTTTTTTTTCTTTCGTTGTATTTGCTAGCATCAGACTGGCATAAAAGGGCATTAGGCAGCACCACGGCCCATCTGACAGGTGTACCACCGGGCTGCGGCAGCGCAGCCGCCGCCGCGACAGGAGTGGGAGCCGTAATTAGAGCAAGGAACAGAATGAACGTCAGATGAATTACCAGGCAGCAGATCATATTTGTCAGGAAGGATCGCATACATAAAAATTAAGTGACAGTACATGCCGGGGTAATGAAAGAAAAATGAAAGATTTGCCCGTACACAGCTCGTGAGATGCAGGCGAGCGCCTTGCTCGGAGCAATGCAGGATGCCTGACCGTGGCACAGCTCCGGTCGAGAGCATTGCTGGGGCAGCACTGGCCCCTGCAATACCTCCCTGGGCAGAGCTGCAAGAGGGGAAAAGTGGGCACCTCCTGTCCTGCTGAGTAACAAAACTGTGCTGGAAAGGCAGTGGTGGTGTGGGGTTGGTGATGGACACCAGGACCCAGCCGGGGCTGGAGGCTGTGGTGGATTCACCCAGTGGCCCCTCTTGTGCCACCTCCCCTTTCCCCGTGCAGTCTGTGAGAGCCGACAGGAGATGCCTCTCCATAGGGGAGAGCTCCTCATGCGTGGGCTTTACCAGAAAACTGCCGTGTTTTAAAGGTAATGGGTATCACTAAGGGGAATTTTACTACTACTTGTTACGACATGGTGGCTTACCATCCTTCCTTCCCTAATTTAAGCTCCCCTGTAGCAGAAGCTCCAGCACTTAATTTAATGGAGATGGACCTGCATATCACAGAAATATTGCTGGGGGAGCATAGGAGGGAACGGGATCACAGTTCAGCATCAAGTGAGGAGGAATGCTTTGTACTTTTTTCCTGTTTTTAAGAAAAACCTCCCCAGCCTGTTCTTCTGCAGTTTATAGTGTGAGCAGTTTACTACATTCACAGTCTGTTTTGGTTTGTTTTGTTTATTTACATGGTCATTTTTTCCCCAGAGGAGCCACACAGTACCTGTTTGACAGGCTGTTTCACTACAGCAAATGACTGTATTTAACCCCGTGCTTTGCACCCCAAAAGGATGAAATGACACCTGGATGCTGGAGTGGGGTGTGACACCGCGTGGTTTGGGTTGATTTTCTGGTACTGGTTGTGATGTGCTTCAGGTGTCAGCTCTCATTCAGGGTTTAACACTGCTAGGAGTACTTTTTGTCTGTTTGTAATGTTTGTCTGTGTCTATTACCGATTTTGTTGATCTCTGAGGTGGCCATCCAGAGAAATACCTTGTTGGTTAAGACTATTTTAATGTGCTTGTTAGAAGGTTTAAGTCTAATCTTTGCCATAAAACCTAATTAGTTATAAGACAAAAAATTACAAATAGAGCATATTTTAAAACTGCATAGCCTTGGAAAACCTAACAGTAAGCTGGTAGGTTTTGTTTTACTAGGAGCTGTAGTAAATACAGAGACTTTCCATTAATATTAAAATGAATTACTTTATTTGACTGTTACTGTCTGATACAATGCCCATTTTTAGCCAAATAAACGGAGAGGAGAGGAGAGGAGAGGAGAGGAGAGGAGAGGAGAGGAGAGGATTGAAAACCTAAAATCTATACAGTTTTACCCAGAACAGTGTTATTTTGGAGCAGATGATTTATTGTTTATCCTTGGACAAGAATAAACTTGCAGGGTTTCCTTTGGGGGACGTGCACAAGTCAAAGCTGCCCAGTTTAGAGGATGCAAATGGCTGTGGACTGGAGTACGTGGGCGCTACACGTCCCCTGGGGTGTTGTGGTGGGTGTAAGGGTGAACAGGGAGTGACTGCAGGCGTGGGTAGAGCTCTCTTCTAAATGGACTGTTTGTCTTTTTTTCCTTTTTTCCTTCTGCTTGCCAAGCCAGTTTGCCATCTGACTCAAAGTCACGGTACTGGGGGACTTGGGGTGAGCAGGACTTGTCAAGATAAAATGGACGCAAGAAACCCACTTTAAGTTACAGCAGCCAATATTCTGTGTGCTTTGAGAAATGCTGGCCTCTTGGTCTGTGCATGCAGTACAGTGGTAGTGGAAGAAAAGATTGCTGCAGAATTACTGCAGGTACATTGTACTACCTACAGTTACAAACAAACAAAACCTATAAAAAAGGACTTTGGTAGGGTTGTGTATGTGATTGAATAAGAAAAAAATAGCTTAGAGCAACAAGTCTTGTGAAAACAGCTGCAATATTATGGAGGAAATATTTATTCTTTTTCGTAAGAATAACTGAATCTTTCTTCCTCCCCCCACCCCTTTACACAGTTCATGGAGGTGCCTCACACTGGGATCTGCAGGAATTCAAAGTGTATTGTAGTGCCTTTGACCACTGCTTCACTTTAGCTAATGCCCAAAAGTTAAGCCAATTCCCAAATCTTCCTGGGAAGAGACCTCAGCCTTCTTCTTGGAAATACACCCCAAGTAACGCAAACATTTAGAGACAGATACTTAGGAACACAGCTCTTTAAGCAGTGCTGTGAATGTCTCCTGGTAACCTACAAGCATGACTAGAGACGAGACAGGTGAGAGTTGTGGACTTCCATTTTCGTGTACAATTGCTTCCCTGCTGTGTTTGCACCACTGGATGTTATTAAAACACCCTAAAATACACTTCTCAAGTGTATGTGTGTTGATGGAATATGTAACAGTGTATCTTACATGCTAACGCTAAGCTAATAGTTGTGGAAGTACTTTATTATTATTTTTAAAGCTGGGTGGTGTTTTTGTTATT